ATGATGATGATGATGTTGATGGTCATCATGATGATGATCATGATGGTCATGATGGTCATGATGATCATGATGATGATAAAGACGCTGCTGCTGATGCTAGTGATGAAGATGATACACGATTAGACTGTCTATGGTGACTGTTAACGTTGCCGGTTACGCCGACCACTGTTCAGCTCCTGTTGGGGGTATTGTCTATTGACCTTGCGATTGCATTTGCTGATTGTCTGTAGGAAGGGCCGACTTGGGATTCGTGTTTGAGCGGTTCAAAAAGAATAGGAGCTGAAAGTGGAATATGCCGGGATCTCATCTCCGGTGTCAGCAATGACTTCTACAGAACAGTCGGCACAACAGTTGAATATTGGAGGTGGGCACATTGGTGCTGAGTAAACCTGGGTATGCTGCCATGTAGATGCTAGCAGTTTAACGATGCGTGTAGCTCCTCGCGTTTTCGTATGTCTGCTCACCGTACTGCGTATCTGCACGACGACGGATGTAATGATGATTATGGTGATGATGTTGATGATGATGATGATGGTGATGATGATGATGATGGTGGTGGTGTTGATGAACGTGATGGCGATGAGAATACTACTGATGGCGGTACTCCGATAACGAGGGAAGCCGTGGTCATGGCAACAATGGTGGCGATGAAGCTGCTGCATGCTTGTCCAGAAACTGATGATAAGTAGTGGGATACGGATGATGGTGGTGGGGCAATGATGAGGATGTCGAGTTGGAGCAAAAAAGATTGAGCTTGATGACGCGATGGACTTCTGTTCCATCCGCGGGTTATGGTTCGGGTCAGTGACCTATCACTGATGAGTCTTCCGCATAGCCAGGTCTCAATGGTCAGCTTCAATGATGCAGAGGCCCTGAAGTCCTTTGGCGTGCCCCTGTGTTGTTCGCCTACATTTTCCCGAGCCTACGCTGCCAGGGTGGAGGCATCGATGGCGGGCCGATCATTGGAGAGCTCACTGGAATGTGCTCGCGAGATGAAGCCACCGACTGAGACGGGAGACAAACCGGTTCTTCGAAGACAACACACAGCCCTGCATGGTCTAGGACTCTAGGAGCCCAGCGCCCCCTTTATCTGCTCCCACATGCTCGCTCTTCAGGCCCGAGAGCGCGAGATGACACGGCAACTTGACAAGTTCGAGTGGAAGAAGGGGACCGACCCGAAGAATCCCGAAGTCGGAGCCCCGGTAAATGGACCTCAAGCCATGTGTCCATGAACAGCCGAAACTGGTGCCTGCGCTCAGGTAGACTTGAAGTTGGCCACGAAAAAATATCAGCGAAGTTCTGCTGATAAGGCTTCCGATGGGTTCTTAGGGTGCCTCATCGAACTGCTTGCAGCAGGGTGAAGCCCAGAGAAGGATGCTGTACGCGCTCTTAAGGAGTGTGCAGTTACGCCATGACATGCATACCTGGAAATTGCGATGAACACCCAATGCATATGTTGTGCAAGGCCTACCGCAGCCAGGATGTGAGATCCCTGGATGCTTGCTGGAAGACCATGGAGTACCTGATGACGGAGCCGCGAGCCGCAGATAGCTCCTCACCACGAAAGTAAGCCCTGGCATCCAGCAAGTCACCTGGGAGGGGAGTCAAGTAGTAACGGCTGTCGAAGCCATGGTGAGAGTAGGTACAAGAGAGCAATGGCAATAGCCGCAACATCACAGCGTGACACTGTAGTAAAAAGTACGAGCAGTAGTGATAACAACTAACTATAATTATCATTGGTGTTAATTGCACTTTTGATATTGGCTCTGGCACTGCCATGGATTCCGTAACCTGCGCAGGAGATCTTGGACTTCGACAGCAATCCGAAGCCCGGCTTTGCTGTCCAAGCCATCCCATACATCGAGGCAGCCGATGAGCTGAGCCATGTATATACTATAGGCCCTATATAGATTTTAGGGTATCGGTTACATTATATGATACATGTCTATATACGCAGTTGCATATCCAGGAGAGAGACATGCATGCTGCTCGACCTAAGCACATGCTGTTGCACTAAATATTGTGAATGACCAGATAAACCAGATATGAAGAACCATGCCCTACCAGATACGGCCTACCTGCTATACGCCGACGCAGATATTCTATGTCTCTTGTTTGAATAGTACCGAAATCACTAAGATTGCGCTGCTGAGTTGCTCGCTTTGGCACTGAAGCACCGAGGTTTCGAAGCTTTCACAATGTTAACTCAAGTCCCCTCCGCCTAGAGTCAAACCTCCAAGATACCGAAACCCCCTTAGTAGGAAATTCCGAAAACATCAACCGGAAGCGCGGCTGGACTGAGCACCCCAGGAGCAAAATGGCTCACACGTAGCAACAGCAGGCCTAGCCAGCATTATTGTGGTTACTGCGATTTTTACCATAATTGTTGAACTGTTATTACTTCCACGAACTATTACTCTATTACTCAACTGCTTTGATGTTGCGTTTCGAAGCCTGCTGCGGAAGGTCTACTCCTATCTGCGTGATCGCACACGATCGATCAGAGCCAAAAGCTCAGACTTGCAACTCTTGCTTCACTCCCGACGAATCTTCAGCATGAGGCGTTCTTGCGTCCGAGAGAAGAACTGGAGAGCACCGGTCGGCTCCGGCCAGCGTCTCCTTTCCCTTGTTCCGAATTCTGAGACTCGTTCAAAGTTCAAACCTAGCAGACCACATGCGTAGTCAATCTCACTATCAAGCAGCCCGTTGCGAAGGTTTTTTTTGGAGATTGCGAACCGCAACCTCACCCAGGAAACCCAAAACCAAAACCTCGTTTTTGGGACCCTGGAGCCCCAAGATGCTCTCAAAACGCTCACCTAAGGTCGACCTGCACCTCCAGCAGCCTCGATCCACCACCCAACGGGTCTTCGTGGAGACACACGAGCAGCCTGGCAAAGCGCGAGTTTGAGATGGGTTTCGTAGACCGTGGGTGAGTGCATGTGTGGACGATATGTCAAAGGCATTCCAAGGCTCAGCCCTGTTTTTGCGGTGTCAATTCTGAGTCCAAGCCTGGCATTTTCCCATTCGTGTGGAGCCTTGTCTTCCACCGGCACGAGCAGAAGGAATAGGAAGGTCAAGTTCGTTCTCAAGTTCCCATGGCCACCCTCCAAGGTGCTGCCTCCGCTTCGAGATGCTCTCCTTGTATCTTCTTCTTGGGAGGGGGCAGAATCAGGCCCAAAAAACGAAAGACCGCCAGAGTTTCAGAGTGTTCGAGGGCTGTTGTGAGATGCCGGCCCTTTTGGACGGATCTTCTTTCGATGTCTTTGCGGTGGGCAGATTGATGGGCTTCGGTGTTTCGGTCTTTTTCTAGACCTTGGGATTTCCGTAGGTGGCTTTCTGCTTTCTACTGTGCACATCGATGGGTCCAGTCTTGGCAGTGCTTTGTCTTCAACTGAGGCATCCTTCAGAAGAAGTTAATTCGAGTTTGTAAAGTAGCCGGCGAGGGAGACTGCCACTGCTGCTCCGGCGACGACGACGACAACGACAGCGGTACCAATATACTCGTGCTACCTGTAAAGCCAGTCCGGGTCTGATTGTGGTTTCCATGTGAATAGCACCATCAGGTCCATCATCGTGTGGCTTCTTATCAGCGAGCTAGATATGACCCCGGCAACATCACAACTGCTATTGATTTGGTATCGTGGCCATTATTTAGTGGTTCTCCCTTCCCGTGAACCCCAATTTCTGTCGGCGGGATCTTGGCGTCCGGTTGATAGTCTAGGGTCGAGGACCGTGCGTAGACTTTCCGCCCCTCCAAGACAACCTGTAGATCGACTGTTTCAATCTAGGGTAACGCCAGAGCACTCGGAATTGTCAACACAAGATGCAAGTAACTGCAGAATTCTTGCCCCGGGCAACTCCTCCCCTCCTGTGTTGGGAGGAGAAGGCCACTGAGAAGTACGACACCAAGCTAGGTCTCAAGGCAGGAAGCCTTGCCTTCCTTTTCTTAGTCTCACCTTAGAATGTGATTGAACTTCCTCGTCAGTTTTGATCAGGCTAATGACTCGGATACAAGGCAGTAGCTGTGTTCCAGTGCCTGCACGACCGGTTTCAGAGCGGTCCGCTGTCTATGTTACGTGCAGTTACCATCACGAGTATTTGCTTCTGTCAGTTCCTGTGCGCCACTGCATAAATTAAGACCTGGAGAATAAGTCATTCGGAGATGTCAAGCCGCTGCTGAGCATGGTCTTGCCTGGGTTGTTACTCATCAGTACACACGACCTGTGTTTTGTCTGCCACCTCTCCAAACCGTCTGTCCAGCTACTAATTAGTGTTGATACTTCTCGCTACAAGAGCCATCTAGAAGCATTCAGCATTGCCCCAGTCGTAGCCCGTGTGCTCCTCTGGTGAAACATGAGGCTTTTTCATTTTGCTGACTGGCATTCTTCTGCGGTCCTCAAGCAGTCGTCTTTCCCGAGTGTTCCGCTTAGAGTCTAGAGGAGAGATGCGACGGCTGGGCTTTCAATGCTTCTGTCCTTCAGATTAGCCCGGGTGCGACTGCAAGCCAGGCCATCTCACAGACCATCGAGCCGCTCCTGAATGCTTACCAGGCAGCTGGCGTGGTTTGCAAAGCGCTACGCTGAGGGCAGACCAGTCTGGGCAGATTTATCGCATCGCGCATCATCGATCTGTCTCTCCACGGGTTACGCCGGTTCAACTCCTGGTGCTTACTGTCTCGACTGCTGCGTGCTTTATATCTGCTTCTTACTTGCTTCACGTCCAGTCTTGTTTCCACAACGACGACAGCAACAGGAGCAGGAACAGGAACAGCAGCCGCAGCAGCAGCACCACCACCAGCAACACCA